AGGCAGCTCAAGCTGAAGTTCAGAAAATAAAGTATATTTATTAAAAAAAAAACACAACACAACACAAAACCAAACCCAGAACCAAAACCAATCACATGCCATGGAGCTGTAAATGTACACTGGACATATGTAGCATGACAGGACCAGAAGGGTTCAGCTCTGAAGTGATAAGCACAGCACAGCTGCAAAGATAGAAAAAGCTAAAGAGCTAAGGCACTTCCCTTTGTAATTACAAAGGAAGCAGGAAAAAGCCATATCCCAGATAAAGAAATTACAATTAAGACATCTCCCTGAAGCTGACAGCACACATCCTCTGTGTGTGAAGAAGGTTTCCCTAGTAAGGAAGAATCAGGCTAAAGAAACAATTCTTGTCATCAGTTCTACCCATAAGCCCACGGAAGCAATCCCACAAGTGAGCACCCAGGAGGGCCCTTGATGTTATAGTGATCTGCTTGTTTCTCACTTCTGTCACTGTTGCAACTCTCTCAACTCTACTTGATTTCCCTTCTGAGGGAAAAAGAGAGCATTACAGATGTTTCTGCAAAAAGTCCGAGAAGTAGCTTCCAACGGACTCTGAAGTTTTAATTATTTACTTGCCAGCAAAGACATCCTTCCTAGTTTTAGATTACAGGAGGGAAAGGAAGCAGAGATTGTTGTCTGGGTGCTGCCATATTCTACTAGTCCAAAAATTGGACATGGGAACTAAGCTGAAGTATAGTTCCCTCTGCTGAGGAAGCCAAGCCTCATCAGCATCCTCATTGAGGCAACACTGGCTTGGACCAAACTGTTAAGTTAATATTCTAAGTGCTCAATTACAGGGGCTATTTATATAGACTTCAGCTGGCAGACTCAGCCAAAAGTACAGCCAGTTTGATGTACTTCTCTGGTCAGCTGAGAAAGAGACACTGCAGTGCTGATGGAGCCATGAACTTTAAAGTTATTCCCTCTCATTTGGAGGAGCATCCTACCACATAGCAATAAACTGACAGAGAAAGCCACTAAGCAGCAGCTTGAAGCCAGCTGTGCCCCCAGCAGCAAGTAGGGCAGTCAGAGCAGCGGGAGTGAGCAAGCAATGGTGATTTTTGTTAGGATTTCAGAAGGGGGTGGCTAGCAGTGCTCCTGCTAGTGCACACTGAAAGCGGTAAGCATAAGGGCATGGCTGCCTAAAAGGCAGGTGGCAGAGAACCATGCCTTAGCTTTGAAAGCAAAGGCAAAGCAGCATCTCTTCCGTTGCATCTAACCCCTACTGTTGGCAAGGAGAACACTCTCAGTAATTGAGGAGCACTGAGACTCAAGTGTGGAAAAGCTGCAAGGCTCCCTATTGCCACTGAACACCAGGTCCCAGATGCTTCCTTCAGCTTCATGACTGGGGAATGTGTTAACAACCTTGGCATGAAACCAGCCAGGAAAGATTCTCAGCAAGGGCAGAAGGCAAGATCATCTTACTCCAGGAGTCTGAAACTTGCTCTAGCCCACAGGGGTAGGGAGAGGGGAGCAACACACAGGGGACATCTCTGGGAAGATACATACCCCAACTGGTTCTACAAACCGCATCAGGATTAGCAGATGTCTCAAGGGTTAATTAGTTCACCAGGCACAGATGGTAGCTGGTAGGGTTTGTGGAGTGGATTAACCTAATTTGTGGTTTGTAATGTTCCATGCAAATATCCATTACTAGACTTGCAGCAATTCTACCCTTATTTCAATTTGAGCAGAGAAAACCACACAATGATGGTAGCGGTGCCTTTTTTGAGTGACAAATGAGTTGCTGTTCATTCAGTTAATGCGATTGACAAATTGGAGTCTGGAAAGCAATTCCTTCCCTTTTTTGCTACAGAGGGTCTTTGGAGAGACCTAGATGAGACCATTTGTTGTGAGTGCACAGAATATGCCCATGGTAACCACTCCTCACAGTTGTACTGAGGTCTCTTCCGCATTAACAGATGGTCATAAAGCAGCAACTGCCTGGTAACATAAAGGCAGCTTTCTGAGGCAGCTCTGCAGCATGTCAAGTAAAACCCCACAAATCCAGAGTAACAAACAGCACATGTGGCAGTTCAGGCCACAGCAAACATCCATGCCTACACAGAGTCTCAGTTGCTTCAGTGAAGCTCCAGGTCTGTGAACTGACTGCAGGTCAAATCATTTATAATTAGATCATATCCAAGTGAAGGGCTGCGTGTTTATACAGCTCTTTGCACAAGAGGAAGCCAGGCTCAGGGCTGGCATGTAGAGGTACCCCAGAGCAGTGCTAGACTCCCTTCTGTTTAGTTAAGGACATGCCATGCTATTGCATTCGGTTCAGAAGGTCTCAAATGTTTACAACCAATATCAGCTGCAGCAGTAAATGTTTCCATAACTCCTATTAAACTCTGAACTTGGATTAATTGTCTCTGCTCTAAGGAGCGAGCACAGGACTAGCTAGTCATGCATGCTGGCAAGGCAGAGGTCAGGCTAGAGGTGACACTGGCTGTCAGAGGCATTCCCCAAATGTTTCTGCAACAGGCCATGCTCATGTTGTGCCTGCACATGCCTGAGACACGGCAGCTGTGGGATTCCTGCTGGACAGTGTGGGACAGCTGTGCTCATGCCCCAGAGCCTCCTCCCATCACATCTTTGGGCAAGGCAGAAGATGTGTTCACAGGCCTGATTTGCTGGGAGATGATTGCATTTTAAAGTGCCTATTTGTCTCTTGGCTAAAGACAGTAGTGTCAGCACCTAGAGGAAAGTACATTTTGAAGCAGTTACCTTAAAAGGCTCTCACAGCACACCCTGGAAATTTGTGCTTATTTACCCCATCACTTGTTTGAGTGTCATAAAGCTGGTCTTTGTTAGAGGCTGCAACTACCAACTCCCTTGGCATATTCCTTCACTCATTGTGTGAGCACTCCCACAATATCCAGCTCTGAACAGAAGGAAGCATTCCTCCTCTGCTCTAAAATCAGGCAAGAGGATGGCTGGGAACAGAGTCCTTTTGTGCAGCTCGTTTGGTCAGAGAGCTGCTTCACATTCCTCTTCATGCCAGCTAAATGAAGAAAGAGCATCCCTAAATCTCACTGTTTCCAAGCTGTAACTGTGCAAGGGGCCAAGCACCTAGAAGTGGAGAAGAGGAAACGGTCCCAGAAAGAGACCTTGCAGCATGTGGAGGTGGGACAGTCAAGGGAGGGAGCCTGACTTGAGCCTCCATCCCTCACAGGGGTGGAGGAACACATCGCTTGGGCAGGAGGCCAAAAAGAACCCAGCAGGGCAGCATCCAAAAATGGCATCTCAGCTACACTGACTCAATCCCTCTTCCCCTAATGCCATAGCAGATCAGCTCCAACTTCCCTCCAGAGCCACAGGAATGGAGGAGCAGCAGTTTCCTCACACTCCCAAAGCAATCCTCTCATCTCTTAGATTATTGCAACTCCTGTGCATGTCAACTGGTGCACTGAGCCCAGAGCTCTCCTGGTTTCCTAGTGCTGTTCTAGGTCACTGCTAAATCAGGTTGCCCCAGAGACTTCAGTGCTGTTTTCCAAAGGTCTTTACATGGCCCAAAACCCCCAGTGCTCAGGATGTGTCACTGCATCAGGAGCTCCCACACTCAGTTCTGCCTTCTACAGGGTCACTTCACCTTTATGGTCTGCTCCTCTAGAGAAAGTGCCGCTGCCAGCATAAGTCACAGGCCACCATGAACAAACACTACACTTGTAATATTACATTTAGGAGATCCTAGAAGTGCAATCCAGATAATCTTTGTATGAGATTAAGAGAATGAAGCATACCATAGTTTAGCACATTGGGCCAGCACCTAGTACCACACTTGCCTCTTCATTACCACAACAAACCTCAGGGAAAGGATACCTAAAATATTGGCCTGCAAAGGCAATATCCATTTGATGTACAGGACAACAGGCTGAAACAACAGCTTTGCTTTAGTACACCACTTAGCTTATTAGAGAGCTGCAGCTTAAAAGCTCTCATAATTAACCAACAGATCAATCTAGGCAGTGACATTCATTGGAGACCAGTATGTTACGTTCATCTTCTTTCCTTCCCAAAGATTAAGCCATTGCAGTGTTTCTTCATCATCTTAAAAAGCAAGAAGAAAGAAAACCCCTCCTCTCCCCTGTACACAGGCCAGAGTTTTCCACAAGTTGCTATGGGTTTGCAAGGCCTCTCTTTGGATGCCCTGAGTACAACTGGGAGCACCCAAGACTCCAAACAAAGTCAATGAGAGTTGCAGGTGCTCAATGCTGCTTGGGGAAAAAAAAAAAAGAATAAAAGGAAAAATAAAAAAAAGAGAGAAAGCCCTGACAAATCCAGGGCAGCACAGCCAAACCCAGAGGCCCATAATTACATGTCCCTACTGAAAACACATCTGTAAAAATCACCAAGAGCTACAAGGGGAGGGGAAAAGTTGGATTTATGTAGTTTCAGATTAGGGTTTTATGGGACATTTGAATCCAGGAGCTTAAAAACAAAACACTGAGCTACAGCTTTTGAAGCAGCCCAAACCCAGACACAGGCATTGAAAGCATTTTGCATCAGAAGCTATATCAGATCCTTTTGGAAAAGCAAAGGTAAAAGATTCCAAGGAGAACAGAAAAGCATTCCCTTCCCCTCTGGAAAAGAGCCCCAGCTCTCAGGCTGCATTTTGACTGTTTGCTCAGGTAAAGAAAGACTTAAGAAAAAAATGAGAGAGAAATTTAGCATAATTATCATCTCAGACTGAAGAAGGAGCTGTATAAACACAGTCAGAGGAGAGCAGTCATTTTAACTGTAATACTATACGTGGTGGGTTTCTTCTCCTCTCCAGTGCAAAGAGCTGATGCCTGTCTCTAGCAGGCTTCAGCAACAGAAAGTTAAACTGCTACACAATTTAACCCACAGAAGGTAAAGGGAAGGTTTAAGGGGAGAGGTGTTGAAGAGGGGGTGGGATGAAGGGTGAAGGGGGCACACGGGAAGCTCCTCTCTGTAATCATGCAGTACATAGAAAGCCAGAAAGCCTGGTATCTTACCTGATTTTCTCTTTGAAGATCCATAGTCCCTGAAAAAAAGACAACAACAAATAGACATGGTTAGAGCTGGAAACGGTGGTGACAGAATGGGTGCCTCCCAGATTTCCACCCATATGCTCAAGAGCTCATCCTGTGCACTCCCTCCTTTAAAGAGGAGGTCGGGACTGCAAGGCATTGACAGGCAGGGACCAGGACGGATCCTGAGCAGCACCGGCTCATCATCATCAGCAGCTGGGGCTTCTGCAGCACCAGGGGCTCGGGGAGCATGTGATCAACGAGACAGAGCAAACCATCCACAACCAGCAAGGCAGGGGAGAAGGGTGTCATTTTTTCCCCTTTAAATTGAGCTATTAAATGCACAGCTACTGAATTAACCCCTGACATTCCCCCGGAGAGGAAAGGGAATATTAACTGCTTGATGCAGGGGTGCGGCTGCTACAGGCTTATCTGGCACTGCGTGCAGTGCTCTCCTTTCAGAGGCTGATTAATTTGTGAATAACCTCGGAACCTCTCCTCGTTACCTCTGACAAGCGTTTGTCTTCTGCAAGGAAAAACAACACCAAACCCCAAACTTTGTCCTTCTTCTTTCTTCCAGGATGGGGAATGAACCCGTACTTTTCTATAGTTATTAAAGGGTGCTGGCACCTTTGCTCGTGGCAGAACAGCTGAGAGCTCAGACAGCTGCTACAGAACTGGGAAGAAATTACAGAAGGGAGCTGCGGGAGCTGGTCTTGGATAAGCAGAGCTGAGGACAGAAATGCCTCACTATGGCTGTGCTTCTTCCCAGCACTTTCTCAGCCTCTGAGACTCAGCTCTGAAACGGTCTGCACAGGCAGGAGCCTGGGCAATGACAGATTGGGCAGACAGCACTGCTGCGTGGGCACAGTGCCTGGGGCACAGCCACACACTGTACCCGGAGGCATTAATGTTGGGAATACCACCTAATGAACCGCTCTAGAGGCAGGCTGTGTTTGAGGAATCCCACTGCAGGGGCAGGCAGCAGCTTCTAAATTTGGAGGGGGGGACAGGCTCTTAGAAGTGAGGTTTTGTCCATTGCAGCATGCTGTGTACTCCAGAGGAACCAGAGAAGGATTATCCTAAACTATGTATTTTATTTCAGGAGTTTGGGGAATCATCTAAGGAAGCAACATGTCTTAAGGGCAGAGGTATGTCCACCCATAAATTCTGTTTCTCCCAGCACTTTCCTTGGATCCCATGCTTGGATTCATGCCTTACATGTCTAGGATTTGCTTCCAAACAAACTGGGGGAAGTTTTTGCACCCTCTTTGGATTTTCCAGTGTCATTTCTTATTCAATTAAATAGTTGTTTTCTCAGCCATGTCTGCAGTTGTATTTGATATGAGGATGCTACTGCTCATGAATAGGCTGCTTTTTTCTACACAAGTGATTTCATACAATGCCTGCTATATGGTGCCCAAAACAGAGATCCCTCAGAATGAGCCAGGGAAGGCACAATCCCCAAAACGTAGTCCTCCGCCCCGGCTCCGCTCCCACGCCAGCTTGGAGCTTTGTGGCTGCTGTCAATACAGCTCTCTTGGCACGCGCATGTCTGTGTTTGGTCCTGCCCTGAACTGCCTCCCTTCTGACAGTGCTAAATGGTAAGAAGGTGGAACCCTGCTGAGATCCCCACATATAACTTGCTTTGGCCTAGTGTCTCCATTGTGCACATGCTTGATGATCATTTCAACACCTCCTGCCGGTCCCAACTTTCTGGTCAATGGCAAGCAGGGTGCCAACGCAGGCAGTAACTGTTCATGTGAGCCAGGAGCTCTGCCCAGCAAACCCCATCACTGCTTCTCTCATGGCTTGTGCATGGTGAAAACCAACCTTGAGGTTAGTCTGAAGAGGGAAAAAGCCCCTTACTGTCACTGCAAAGTGCACAGCTGAGTAAATTAGGGTCAGCTACAAGAGGATGAAGTAGCAAGTAGCTCTCAGTAATGTCTCTGAGATCTGAAGGGTAATTAGCATCATCAGAGGATACAGAATGTATTCAGGCTCCTGAAGGCAGTTGAACCTACAACTTCTGGTTATGTTCTTAGTCTTAAGCACAAGATCATCCTTACAGAAGAAATGAAATTATTATTACAAAATATATATGTGAATCGTCACTGCCCCCAAAGTCATGAGGGTTGCTCAGAAAAGAAATGAAGAAACCAATCAAGCTACTGGGCAAGTTTTCATCTTTTCATTTATTCTTGCTGTAAGGGTTAAAGCCAAGCTTTATCAGGTTTTGATTTTGGAGCTCCTGAAGTCCATGTACCCCATGTACTCCCTGCCTTGTCACTTTTTTGTACACCCACATTTCACTTATAAAATCAGGACAAAGCAGTATCAAATAAAACAGAGCTTGAAATAAAATCCTCATCTCCCCAGTGAAACTCTGAAAGTCAAAACTTGCTCCTCCCAGCGAGGATGGGAAAAAAAATTACTGCTGAAATAGAAAGCAAAGAAGGTACAGCAAATTATCTCTCTGCCTAAGTAAAGTGCTCTCTCTATACATATTCTTCTCCTCTTTTCTGCTAATGAAGAAAGCCTGCGCTGCTGCTTTGCAATAGCTTCCAGCAAGGAGCCCTGCCTGACTCCATGTTTATTTTTAAGTCCTATTATTCTGCATCTGCAAGATTCATTGATGTCTTTTCCCTTTCCAAAGTGATGATCTATAAGATGAATACCTCTTGGCTTCACTGTTTTCAGAGGAGCATTATTGTGAGGCTGAAGTATCTGATTATGTCTCCAAAACAATTAAGGAAATTATTTAATGGTGTCTCATAACTGTAACAACTTCCAAGTAGAAACTCCAATCTTCTCCTTCAGTACAGCTTGCACCTGGCACACTGCTAGACCTTAAATCAGACAAGAAACCTCGCCTTGCAGAAGAACAACCTTTCCAAGGAAAGGCATGACGAATGTCACATCTGCAGCTACCCAGAGAAGATTACTTTCTCTTCAGCTTTTCCTCTTTTTACCTCTCTATCTTTATAAACACACATATATTTCCATTATTCTCCTATTTCTGTATGAGAACAGATACCACCATCCTAATTTCCCTTCTAGCCATAGCTGCAAGAATAGCAGTGAAACCAGCAGATCTGAAAATAGCTCTGGCAGGTTCCTTCTTCATTAGCCAGGATCACTCCATACTGAACACATGCCTTTCACAAAAATAGTGTATTTCTAGCCTTTTTTTGTATCAGAATATGGCAATTTTGTCTAAAGCCTTCCTGTGGAGCACCACATTCAGCTGACACTGAAATTCATTACTGGCAAGAAAAGTATTTCCTGCTGGTAACAATATTAAAATATCACTGGTGCCAAGCACATCACACAAGCTGGAAACACTCCTCTTTACTGACAAAGGAGAGGGAGGCTGGATCTCCTTTCTCACCAGCATTACACCAGGATAACATTACTCATTTGAAAACTAGCAGTGAATGTGAGAGGAAGACCACAAGCATTACTACAGAGCTGATTGCCTTGTTATCACATTAAGCTATCCACAGTCAGTCTGGAAATCTGTGAAAAGATAAGAATATCTTATGTCATCGATTTTATATGTCACTTGCAATCTAATTTAATAGTGACCATTATATTAACAGTGTTATGGAAAAGCTTTATGGCACAATCTTTCTTTAGGGACATACTTGGCTGCTGTACCCAGTGAGAGTTAATAAGCACTGATGTATGTGTGTGGCATGTTTTTGTCTGTCTAAATCCATATAGATATACACAAACAAGCAGTGGCACGACTGGAAAAGTTGTTTAACAAATGAGGGGTATCCTCACATTTGCTCAAATAAAGCCTAAGAAATATTCCAAGCGGAGAAGACTGGAGGTGACCAGATGCGTCTGTGATGGGCTGTGCCTATCTCTTTAGCTGTACTTCTAATTCAGTTTGATTTGTATCTATCCCAGAGGGTTTCTCCAGCAAGTCAGCAGAAGCCTCCTGCAGGAACAAGGAGAGTTTGCAGAGCAACAGTGCATCAAGAGGTACTATAAGGCTGCAACTTGGCTCCTGCACAGCTCCGCTCAGAGGTGATGTGTTAAGTCAGGGGACTTCATCCCTGTGGTACCCATGATGCAAAGGCTCTATCAAAAGCTTCTCCCCTTTGCCACGCGGCAGCAGACCCAGCAAGCTCACTCTGTGGGATTCCTCCTTTCTCAGGCACGTCACCTTTTAGCCCAGAGCCTCTGTCTGCCAGTAAAGCAAGGCTTGGCTTCAACTCATTTAGCAAAGTTTTCAGACAACTGTGAGTTTCAACCGTGAGAGAAAACAGTGCCTGCAATGCATGAGGAGCTGTCAGACCCACAGAGGAGCACGGCTGGGGGAGCTGCACAGCAGACATTTCATCAGACGAGACAGAAGCTAAAGGAAGAGTAAATCATCTTTCTGTCTGTTTCTCAGTGTTTGCTGTCCAAAGGAGACGAGACAGTGACAAACCCGGAGTAATGGAGGTTAATCTGTATCCTCCAGAGGATTTTAATACATAAATTAAAATTGTTCCGTATTTGTTTGCTTTCACTAATTCACGTTTAAATGCATTGTAGGTGTTTATGTTCCCATGCTCCTTAATTCCTAAAAGTCTCTAGTGGTGTGGGCAGGCTGCGGTGGAGATGTATGACATTTCAAACAAACAACTCAGATTATCATTTAATGGCCAATGATTTGCCAGGCAGATTAGAAGCACAGAAGTGTTTTAACAAGGAAGTCCAGTCTCTCCTTCCCAGCACTCATACAGTCTGCAGTCAGTAATGAAGACCACTTTTCCACAAACTATTTCTCTTAGCACTGCTATCAGATTCTGTGACTGTTTTTAAAGTAAGCCAATACAAAAATACTTTGCTACTGCTCTTTATGCACACAGAAACCTGAGCCTTGAGGATATATTTGCATCTTGAAACTCCTAACTTATTTTCCTCAACAGCCAGGGTGACATTTTCTATTTGAGACAATTGGTACAGTATCAATTGTGACCAAGAACTGTCACTAGTTGCCTGCCTATGGCTGAAT